GTGCAGAGAACGTAATAGGGCATAACCTCTGGAATTTTAAGAATGCAAAAAGGTAAAAGAAGACAACAAGAGATCCTGGAGGGATCCTAATGCCTTATATTTGTAAGATCTTCATTAGATTATGTAAGTTTGATCTTTTTATTTCTGTTCTCTTTTCTATTGGATTGATAGTCTTTTCAACAGTAAAATGCATCTTGTGGTAGCTTTTTATTAAAACTTCATACAAATAGGTTTGACAGTGTCCTTTCAAAGTTAAATTGTCATTTTAACTGTTTATTTAAACAGTGAAATTTGAACAAGAGAAATAATTTATCTTCTAAAAAATAAAATAAGCAAAACTAGCAAACAAGAGGAACTACCTTATACAAGAGAAATCCACATATAAATTTCAGTAAAACCAGTAAAAGCGGAACATAAATATGAAAATTGAGGCCTAGAAGATATTTCATGTATTTCTCAGAAATAGCAGTAACAATTTTGAGCTGTCAAAAGCCAAGATGTCTGCCTGCAGGAGGCCATCTTATTTTTCTGATTAGTCTTCAAATGAAATATGCACAACTACAGACCAAAGTGACTAACATATGAAATTTGATATTAATTTTTCCAGTTCATCTTGAGAAATAGCGACTACAAAATTGTTTCAGGATGGACAAAGGGAAGGGTAAACAATGGACCAAGGATGCTTTAAAGCACATTTGTTGGGATCTGTACGTATGTTTTTAGGGTAGGGATCTCTATCATTTCCATGTTGTGACATTAGAACTTAATACATTTCTTTATGTCCAGCAATTGTATATCATGTATATATGGTTATCAGGTGTGGGTATCAACCGTTATGATCCAATTCATTAATTCAGTTGTTTTTTATCAATGAGTCACATGTGTTCATTTTTCTGTACTTCAGGAAACCGGCTACCTATTTCACTACTGTGAAGTTTTTCAAGAACGATAACTCATACATGCCATTACTATGTGTATATGGTTTTATCATAAAATGTCAATTTTTAATCGTTTATAGATAATTAGTTTTACACAATTTCAGCATTTATTAAATTGATATACATTAATGCAATACTAATCTACGGTAAACCTTCGGTCAGTTCGAACAAAATTAAATAAATATTGATGAACCTGTTCAGATTATACAAAATCATGCTTCAGAAAATAAGCGTGAGTTCGAACTATCGGCAAAAATTTCGGCAAAGTGCAAATCAAGTCACAAACATATCCCCGACATATTTTCTTCACCGGAGTATACCTCTAGATATCCAATGTAAGGTCGATACGTAACAACGACGGCCTGGCATAGAACAATGGCACATTTATAAATGGGTAAAATGATAGTATATTATTTAATTCAATGTTAATTGATCATTAAACTTTCTTCATTTCGTGATAATTATGATCGTTATTGCGAAGCAGAGGCCCTTGTGTAGGCCCCGAAACAGTACACGATTCATTTGTGACACAAAAGTTAAGACTACCTAGCTTGTATCAGAGACCTAAATATTGAGTCTCCGCGTGGTTAGGTTTTATTTGAATCAGAAACTATTGTATATATTATTTCGTAATGAATGGTCCGTTTAATAAAGTGAAAACATAGTCTACATAACCTGTTGCGTTTACAAAGTGTTACTGTACAGTAAATATAGGTCTATATGTTAGTAAAATTAGGTCAGAACATCAACATGTCTGCTTTAAATTGTAAGTGATATAGTCCTAATACCTACCCAACTTATTTGACACCTTCAAAATTACCCATCGCTAATTGGGACACCTGTGGATATGTTTGGACTTTGACATGAATGCTAATCACGTCACTCACCATGGCTGGGCGGCCGATTCCTACCGCGACATCGTGTCCTGCCCTACCTGGTGTGAGGCACACATTTACAGGTAATACCTTGATTGGCAATAATTAAGGGATGTCAGGTCGCAATAAAATAATCATAATGCTTAGTTAACACTGTATCTGAAAACACGGGCGATTTTTTAGCGTACAGCCATACAGCGTGACATCAATTCGTACTGATCGCATGTTATTTATACATTGTCGGGGCCTGAGTTGAAATAGGCTGTCTCGTGCACGATGTATTTTCCAAACAATGTAAAAAAATGAGTCAACGCTAAAATCTGTGACATATATCTATGGTCTGTCTTTACTTCAAAGCAATATAACTACAAAATTTGAATAAATTTTACTGAGAAATGGTGACACAATCCTATTACCTTAAGATATTCTACATACTTTCATATTAAAGTTGATATAATTTGTTTTTACAATTGTTGTAAAATAGATAAATTTGAGTTGTATTTAAGTTTCAACAAATTTTTCTAAAACAATTTAACATTTCAATATTTGATTTGGATAAGATTTCATAGAAGAACAATCCATAGTAATACCATATGTCTCTTTTCATTCAAGAAGATACATTTAATAGGGCTGCGAGAGTTAACTCCCTTCAAAAAGATAATTTTATCTATCAGGAAGTGTGTTGTCACACTCATTTATATAGTCATTTTGTTCTGTACTGACATTTTCTTGGTCAATACTGATTTTGAGTTAATTGAAATGTAAAATAACAATATTTTTAATGTTATGACAATCAGTTTCTACTTTAGACAACATTTTTCATTCAAGACTTTTTTTATAGATTTATTTTAATATGATTCTCAATGAAATTCAAAAACTGAACTAAATAATAGATAAGATATGTATTACTAAGATGTAGATTTGCATGTGCGGGAAACAGAATCTCTTATTGTCAGGTCCAACAACAAACAGTTTTTTGTTCAATGATAGACATGTTAATATACAGGAAAGACTGTGAGCTGCGTGTAATGCTGAGATGTAAATGTATAAAGTTACATAACTACACGCCTGAGAAATCTATTTCTCTTTAGTACTTTTTATTTTCTACTTCCTGGATCAACAGTTTTCCCAATCTCAATAACATGATGCAGAATCTTAAGCAATACATAAGGAAGTGTTGCATGATGTTTCAGAACACAATTGCATTAAATTTAAGCAAATCAAGACAATAAACCATACACCATATGACAATCGTTGGTTAGTCAACTGTCCTTGTGAAGTATCAACTATGCATCATACAGTTATACTTGGTCAGCTTACTGTCAGGGTAAATTACATACCATACACTGTATCATAATGTTTGGTTAGCTTACTGTCTGGGTAAAGTACATACCATACACTGTATCATAATGTTTGGTTAGCTTATTGTCAGGGTATAGTACATACCATACAATGTATCATAATGTTTGGTTAGCTTACTGTCTGGGTAAAGTACATACCATACACTGTATCATAATGTTTGGTTAGCTTACTGTCAGGGTAAATTACATACCATACCCTGTATCATAATGTTTGGTTAGCTTACTGTCAGGGTAAATTTCATACCATACACTGTATCATAATGTTTGGTTAGCTTCCTGTCAGGGTAAATTACATACCATACACTGTATCATAATGTTTGGTTAGCTTATAATTACTGTCAGGGTATAGTACATAGCATACAATGTATCATAATGTTTCGTAAGCTTACTGTTAGGGTAAAGTATATACCATACACTGTATCATAATGTTTGGTTAGCTTACTGTCTGGTTAAAGGACATACCATACACTGTATCATAATGCTTGGTTAGCTTACTGTCTGGGTAAAGTACATACCATACACTGTATCATAATGCTTGGTCAGCTTATTGTCAGGGTAAAGTACAAACATATACTGTATCATACTGCTTTGTTAGCTTACTGTCAGGGTAAAGTACATACCATACACTGTATCATAATGTTTGGTTAGCTTACTGTCTGGGTAAAGTAGATACCATATACTGTATCATAATGTTTGGTTAGCTTACTGTCTGGGTAAAGTACATAGCATACAATGTATCATAATGTTTGGTTAGCTTACTGCCAGGGTAAAGTACATACCATACACTGTATCATAATGTTTGGTTAGCTTACTGTCTGGGTAAAGTACATACCATACACTGTATCTTTATGTTTGGTTAGCTTACTGTCAGGGTACATACCATAAATATTACAATGAAGGTTGCATATCATATATCTTACCATATTGTTTATTTACCTTATATTACTGTCACAGTGAAGTGCACACAATATATATTACCATAATGGTTGTTACTTTATATTACTGTCACAGTGAAGTGCATACAATAATGGTTGTTACTTTATATTATTATCAAGGAAAAGTACATACCATATTAGGGCTGCAGTGTTTAGAAATAATGCCAGTTGAATAACCGTGCGCTTATCAAAACCGAAACTGGGTAACCATGAGGTTTTTTGTGCCATGAAATACAGCCATTAATGGTCCTTTATTTTGCTAAAAATATGATTACTTAATTCACTTAATGCTTAAACAAAAATAACTCAATACTTATGTCTTGTAAATTTAAATACAGCTGTGAAGCGTTACAAACTCTCATAAACTCTAAGGATTGGCTAGATATCGCTAGCCTCCAGATTGGGAAACTTTCGTAGTTTCACTTAACACTCGTATGTTGTCAACGTTATGCACATGAACTTCAGGTCGGAACACAGAACATAGCTCCCAGTGAATGATAAGTTACACTGTTAAACAGAATGTCAGTCGGTATTATGTTAACATTTAAAGTTTATTGCATACATGCACTCAATGGTATAGCAAGTATACTGATCAAAAGTGATTTCGAGTTCTGTCAAACAGCAGTCAGGAGTGACATTTCTGACCGGGAAAATCAATAAATATTGACCTACATTTTGGGATGGTTTTCTGATACATAAATTTGCTAACCTAATAGTACTTATAACTGAACCACAACCTGCAGGTACCTGATTACCTGTTCCAGCCCTATACTATATGTATTCATAATACTGGTTGACCTTATGTTACTGTCATAGTCAAGTACATAACACACAGTATCACAATGCATGGCTAGCTTAGTGTCACAGTAAAGTTATTGGAAAACCACCTACCTTGGTGAGTCCATGTCATCCGTTCGAGCTGTACTGACCAGCTCCTGCAGGGAAGGCCGTGCTTGTTTCGAGTCACCTCCCTCTCTAGAACGCCGTTTCTTGATGGATTTTGGCAGAGTGGAAACTGCTACCTTGGTCATTTGCTTCTTTTTGTTTGCAACATGTCCATAGGGCATGATATGGTGTGGTCGTTTCTTCAGTACAAGGACCACCTCCTTAGGTTTCTCCTTCAGAGAGTTCACCAGCTTTGTGAGCTGCCAGCCAACCTTGACAAAACACACATTATATATACATTTTAGGTATGACATATGTATGTTGGGAAATCTATATAAAAAAACACCAAAAACAACAACATTTTATCAAGCACAATTGTTTTTACAAAGACTGGTTAATAACATTACATGTCTGAAGATAGTAAATAGTGCGATTGTTCTTATATCGTGTCTAATAAGTCATTTTGGTTCGACACATTTTATATTCAAAGGTATATGTATTGTGATTTTATGAATACTGTGTGTTTAACACGAAAATAATATATTTGAACATGAACTCTATAGTAGCACGAATGACTTTGGAGGAATAATCATCCTTGTTGTAAATGATATATGTACATATTTTATTTTTGTCTGTTTAACTTTCCATTAACACATAACATTTAATATCATTGCAAGATAAAATACAACATGTATATCATTTTGGGCACTGCCTGTGGTATGAAATCCCTATTACCAAAGCGTAATTTAATTTGAAGCGTGCTTCACAACTACCACCACTCTCTGTAAGTGTATATACCAGGTACACACAATGTGTAGCCTACTCATGACAGTCACTAAGAAACCTGAATTACACAAAGATAAATTAGTACTTGAGGTCAAGGTAAAGGTCAAATTGGATCACAAAATCTGATTTAAGATGCGACATATTGCCTTCTCATAATGTACCTATACACAAAGTTTGATGCCATTTCATAAAACTCTGGCTAAGATATGCTCTAGAAATCATGGATAGCTTGGACTCTAACACGCTGACACACACTGACAAAGCAAATACTAAATACCCCTAACTTTGTCGAAGTGGGGGTATAAAAAATCATCAAGCGAATCATGATACTTTCTCATAATGTTTATGTATATGCAGCTTAACTGTTGTGAAGGAAACTGGGTTTTATACATGGTTAAAAATTACAACTAGATTTAAATTAAAGTAGGGCCTTCATGGATACCCAAGCAGTGATATAAGAAACAACAGAGAATAGTGGTTGTGAGGACTGCATTTGTAGTACACAACAACCTGCTAGTCCATGATGTACCCAATTAAAGCTCTCTACGTGAATCTTTGTGTGAAATGTGACCCAAAAAACTTTATTTTTGAATATGTCAAGGTCAAATAGTGGCTGCACTGATTTGAGCGTTGGAAACCTCTCCACGCTAGCCTACCTTGTGGATGTTCGATACTCGTCCGTATACGGGAGTGTCTATGCTATCGCCGATATATCGTATGAGACTTTTGTGTGGAGAAGACATTATTGTAGGGAAGACTTGGGTGTTGGGAAGGCTTGTGTGTTGGGAAGACTTTTGTGCGGGGAAGACGTAATTGTAGGGAAGACTTTTGTGTGGGGAGGACATTATTGTAGGGAAGACTTTTGTGTGGGGAGGACATTATTGTAGGGAAGACTTTTGTGTGGGGAGGACATTATAGTAGGGAAGACTTTTGTGTGGGGAAGACTAGAGTGAAGGAAAGACTCACCACAGTTTTATGGTTCACCTGAATCACCTCATCTCCTTTCTCTATTTTACCACATAAATCTGCTGGTGACTGAAATAAATACAGACACTCTTCAATTAGCATACATGTTGTTCTTATGTAATTTTTCTTTTTAAATTCTCAGGCCAAAAAAAACCACATGTCAATTTCCTGCTATATGGCCAAAACATCAGATCAGTTGGTCAGCATAATAATTTAATTCAATAGTTTTAATTCAGCCTTTATTCCTAGAAGAGACACATTAGAATGTTGTTGCAAAATAATTTCTTATGTCATCTGGGGTTCATTAGAAAATTATATATCTTTGTTTGACCAAGCACTTTAAGACAGCATGGATGACTATTCGCAGGCAATTCACTCACCATTTCCTTGATGCCTCCAATGACATGAATGCCGTAGTAAGATGATTGGATGTGCATCCCCTACAAACGTAAAAGATTGTGTCATGTCAAGATCAAAACAAAATACTCACAGGCCTTGTATTGTTTCTCCAAGTTAGGCATGTTTTATTTTTCATATCATACAATGAATTGGTTAAGTCAATTTTTTATAACATGTTGCTATACTAAACATATGAAGTGTGGCACATGACCCAATTTCAGTATGCAACACTCCACCATTCAAAGGGGTAGTCACAAACAAAGTTTAGTGATTGATGGTATATGAAATATGCCCCAGACGGTGAACAAAGGGCCATAACTCTGTATGTGATAAGGCAAGAAAATCAATTTAAGTAAACAACACTGTTATCCTGAGAGGTACTCACATAACTTATTAGAAAGATAGTAAGCAATAGAGAATATAAACCTTAACAGTAACGCTGTATACAAAGTGGCACAAGCTTGTGACACTGCTTTCCCAAGAGGAACTCGTAAACAAAATTTGGCACTTGAAAAATGGGCCATAACTTTACATATACCGGATAACAAGACCTGTTTATTTAAGAAATACTCTGCTATTCCAAGAGGTATTCACATAACAAGTTTGACAATCATAAATGACAGAGGACATGAGATAATGCCCCAATCAAAGTGACAAACTGATGGAGTGACTGACCAACTGATAGACGGACTGCAAACCAATAGTTCCATCCTATAGTACCATTGGAGGACTAATATAAGTTAATTAAAGATTTTTTGATATATAAACCGTATTTGCTAAGCATGTAGTCCACTGCAAATAGAGACTTACAAGTTCCTCGCCTGGTTTCTTCCTGATGGTGGCCTGTTCTAGGGAGGCAGGTTGTACCACCAGGGACTCTTTGTTCTTAATGACCAGCTCGTCACAAACCTCTGTCAGGATTATACACTGTAATACAAGGTACAAAGGTCAAACCTGTCAGGATAATAAACTGTAATACAAGGTACAAAAGTCAAACCTGTCAGGATAATACACTGTAATACAAGGTACAAAGGTCAAACCTCTTGTCAGGATAATACACTGTAATACAAGGTACAAAGGTCAAACCTATTGTCAGGATAATACACTGTAATACAAGGTACAAAGGTCAAATCTCTTGTCAGGATTATACACTGTAACATAAGGTACAAAGGTCAAACCTCTTGTCAGGATCATACACTGTCACATAAGGTTCAAAGGTCAAACCTCTTGTCAGGATCATACACTGTAATACAAGGTACAAAGGTCGAACCTCTTGTCAGGATCATACACTGTAACATAAGGTACAAAGGTCAAACCTCTTGTCAGGATCATACAGTGTAACACAGGGTACAAAGGTCAAACCTCTTGTCAGGATCGTATACTGTGACATAAGGTACAAAGGTCAAACCTCTTGTCAGGATCGTTCACTGTAAAACAAGGTACAAAGGTCAAACCTCTTGTCAGGATCGTTCACTGTAATACAAGATACAAAGGTCAAACCTCTCGTCCGGATCATACAGTGTAACATAAGGTATAAAGGTCAAACCTCTTATCAGGATCATACAGTGTAACACAGGGTACAAAGGTCAAACCACTTGTCAGGATCATAAACTGTAACATAACGTACAAAGGTCAAACCTCTTGTCAGGATCATACACTGTAACATAAGGTACAAAGGTCAAACCTCTTGTCAGGATCATACACTGTGACATAAGGTACAAAGGTCAAACCTCTTGTTAGGATCATACAGTGTAACACAGGGTACAAAGGTCAAACCTCTCATCAGGATCATACACTGTAACATAAGGTACAAAGGTCAAACCTCTCGTCAGGATCATACACTGTAACATAAGGTATAAAGGTCAAACCTCTTGTCAGGATCATACACTGTAATACAAGATACAAAGGTCAACCCTCTCGTCAGGATCATACAGTGTAACATAAGGTATAAAGGTCAACCCTCTTGTCAGGATCATACAGTGTAACATAAGGTACAAATGACAAACCTCTTGTCAGGATCATACACTGAAATACAAGATACAAAGGTCAAACCTCTCGTCAGGATCATACACTGTCACATAAGATACAAAGTTCAAACCTCTTGTCAGGATCATACACTGTAACATAAGGTATAAAGGTCAAACCTCTTGTCAGGATCATACACTGAAATACAAGATACAAAGGTCAAACCTCTCGTCAGGATCATACACTGTCACATAAGATACAAAGTTCAAACCTCTTGTCAGGATCATACACTGTAACATAAGCTACAAAGGTCAAACCTCTTGTCAGGATCATACACCGTAATACAAGATACAAAGGTCAAACCTCTCGTCAGGATCCTACAGTGTAACATAAGGTATAAAGGTCAAACCTCTTGTCAGGATCATACACTGTGACATAAGGTACAAATGTCAAACCTCTTGTCAGGATCGTTCACCGTAATACAAGATACAAAGGTCAAACCTCTCGTCAGGATCCTACAGTGTAACATAAGGTATAAAGGTCAAACCTCTCGTCAGGATCATACAGTGTAACATACCCCCCAAATGTCAAACCTCTTGTCAGGATCATACACTGTAATACAAGGTACAAAGGTCAAACCTCTCGTCAGGATCATACACTGTAACATAAGGTATAAAGGTCAAACCTCTTGTCAGGATAATACAGTGTAACATAAGGTACAAATGTCAAACCTCTTTTCAGGATCATACACTGTAATACAAGATACAAAGGTCAACCCTCTCGTCAGGATCATACAGTGTAACATAAGGTATAAAGGTCAACCCTCTTGTCAGGATCATACAGTGTAACATAAGGTACAAATGACAAACCTCTTGTCAGGATCATACACTGAAATACAAGATACAAAGGTCAAACCTCTCGTCAGGATCATACAGTGTAACATACCCCCCAAATGTCAAACCTCTTGTCAGGATCATACACTGTAATACAAGGTACAAAGGTCAAACCTCTCGTCAGGATCATACACTGTAACATAAGGTACAAAGGTCAAACCTCTTGTCAGGATCGTACACTGTAATACAAGATACAAAGGTCGAACCTCTTGTCAGGATCGTACACTGTAATACAAGATACAAAGGTCGAACCTCTTGTCAGGATCGTACACTGTAATACAAGATACAAAGGTCGAACCTCTTGTCAGGATCGTACACTGTAATACAAGATACAAAGGTCGAACCTCTTGTCAGGATCGTACACTGTAATACAAGATACAAAGGTCAACCCTCTCGTCAGGATCATACAGTGTAACATAAGGTATAAAGGTCAACCCTCTTGTCAGGATCATACAGTGTAACATAAGGTACAAATGTCAAACCTCTTGTCAGGATCGTTCACCGTAATACAAGATACAAAGGTCAAACCTCTCGTCAGGATCATACACTGTAACATAAGGTATAAAGGTCAAACCTCTTGTCAGGATCATACACTGTAATACAAGGTACAAAGGTCAAACCTCTCGTCAGGATCATACACTGTGACATAAGGTACAAATGTCAAACCTCTTGTCAGGATCATACACTGAAATACAAGATACAATGGTCAAACCTCTTTACAGGATCATACACTGGAATACAAGATACAAAGGTCAAACCTCTCGTCAGGATCATACACTGTGACATAAGGTACAAAGGTCAAACCTCTCGTCAGGATCATACACTGTAACATAAGGTATAAAGGTCAAACCTCTTGTCAGGATCATACACTGTACCACAGGGTACAAAGGTCAAACCTCTTGTCAGGATCATACAGTGTAACACAGGGTACAAAGGTCAAACCACTTGTCAGGATCATAAACTGTAACATAACGTACAAAGGTCAAACCTCTTGTCAGGATCATACAGTGTAACATAAGGTACAAATGCCAAACCTCTTGTCAGGATCATACACTGAAATACAAGATACAAAGGTCAAACCTCTCGTCAGGATCCTACAGTGTAACATAAGGTATAAAGGTCAAACCTCTCGTCAGGATCATACAGTGTAACATACCCCCCAAATGTCAAACCTCTTGTCAGGATCATACACTGAAATACAAGATACAATGGTCAAACCTCTTTACAGGATCATACACTGTAATACAAGATACAAAGGTCAAACCTCTCGTCAGGATCATACAGTGTAACATAAGGTATAAAGGTCAAACCTCTTGTCAGGATCATACAGTGTAACATAAGGTACAAATGTCAAACCTCTTTACAGGATCATACACTGTAATACAAGATACAAAGGTCAAACCTCTCGTCAGGATCATACAGTGTAACATAAGGTATAAAGGTCAAACCTCTTGTCAGGATCATACAGTGTAACATAAGGTACAAATGTCAAACCTCTTTACAGGATCATACACTGTAATACAAGATACAAAGGTCAAACCTCTCGTCAGGATCATACAGTGTAACATAAGGTATAAAGGTCAAACCTCTCGTCAGGATCGTACAGTGTAACATAAGGTACAAATGTCAAACATCTTGTCAGGATCGTTCACTGTAATACAAGATTCAAAGGTCAAACCTCTTGTCAGGATCATACACTGTAACATAAGGTACAAAGGTCAAACCTCTTGTCAGGATTGTACACTGTGACATAAAGTACAAAGGTAAAATACTTATCAGGATCATAAACTGAAACACCAGGTATAAAAAATACAAACCTCTGTCAGATTTACAAAATGTAATACAATGACAAGAGGCCCAAGGGACTTAGCAGTCACCTGAGTTATATTATAGGTACTGATAGCTCTATTTCATTGTTGAGATGTACAAAATGTGGAAAACGACATGTGAACAAAGTGAAATACAATACTTGTCATGTCACCAAAGGATAAGAACTTTAAAAACTATTCAAATAATTTATTTTGCTATAGAGAATTATACCCTCCCCAAGGGAGAGCAGATGACCTGGGGGGATAATGAAATTTACAATTTAGGTAATGGTAATTTAGGTAAGGACCTTTCTATCCATGAACAGTAAAACATCTGAGTCTGATGAAGAAGATTTTTTAACCCATTTGGGCCCCACCCCTCCAGCCCCTGGTGATGGGGTAGGATCTTATTTTCTCATACCATCAAATTGCCATCCATCAATTGCCATCATTTCCCTATATAAACTAAAGTCAACTTCAACTTTACCCCCTCCCCAAAGAGGAACGGATGCCCCGGGGGTAATAAAATTGAAAAAATAAATTAAGCCCCTGACAGAATTTTCATCCATGCACAGAATTTGATTGTACTGCATCTGAGTCTGAAGAAGAATTTTGAAATATCGGTTAACTTTCCCTTTGGAGCCCCGTCCTGGCCCCCTTGGGTTGGGGCAGGAATCCTGATTTTACAATTTGATACCATCTTCCTCCAAGGATGATTCTCACTAAGCAAGAATAATTTCCTACTGAAAATGAACAAAATATACCCAAAAGTTTTATTTCCCTAAATAAACTATGGTAAACTTTACCCCCTCTCCAAGGGAGAACGGATGACCTGGGGGTACTGAAATGTATAATTTAAATAAAGCCCCTGATGATCTTTCCTTCCATAAAGAAAAATTGACTGTAGTACCTCTGAGTCTGGTGAAGAAGATTTTTTAAATATTGGTTAATTTTCCCTTTGGGGGGGATGGGGTAGTTATCCCAATTTTGTAGCCTCAGGATGATTCTGACCAAGTTTGAAAAAATTCCATCCACTGGTTCTTGAGAAGAAGTCGAAAATGTAAAAAGTTTACGCTTGATGGACGGAAAGCGATCAGAATAGGTTACTTGAGCAAAGCTCAGGTGACCTAAAAAGCTATACATACATGTAACCATGAAAATATTGTCAGAAATACTTAACTGTTTAAAGAAACATCTAAAATTTCCTTCTTAAAAATTCTTATCTTACTGATTTCAAGATGTTGTCCTCTATGTCATTCTGCCTGCTGTCCTTCTGGTAAGATGACACCAGTTCGATTCCAAGCTTCACAATGGTATTCCTCAACAGACATAGGCCATACATAGACTCAAATGGAGATCTGAATCAAAGTAAAGGAGACAGGGTTTCCCACCAATCTTATACCAAGGTGTCACATGAAGGTGAAGTCCAATTTAATGTCTAGACACATTTTTTTTAATGTGTCATGGAAATGCCATTTTGGAGACATAATAAAAAGTAAATTTAATGGTTTCTCGTTGAATATCATACATTTTTCATTTGTAGGTTGTTGTTTTTCTGTTGAAAATATAAAAACAAGAACTGTCATATTCCAGAAACATATATATCGGTTCAACTGGAAACCACTATATATCCACTATGTTTTCCCTATACAAGTAAGGAAACAGATGGAGGCCAAGAGCATTTTTGATTCAGAACAAAGCAGTTTTATATGAAAATATATATCTTTAGTTTCTGTTTTATTAATAAACATAAGGAATTGAAGATCATGCGGTAGTCCTTTATTTTACCTGTCTAGCCAGGACACAACATTTTTCAATGTCATACTGAGGTCAGCCAGTGCTGAGAGGATCTTTATAGATAGTCTTCTGGATGGAGGGCCCTGTGAAACGTTTGCCCGATTCTTATCGTTTTCTACTGACTTGGCTTGGATTTCATTATGTAAACTACGAGCTTTACATCCCAGCTGTAATGCCAAGTGTTGGAGGGTCTCAGTTTCATACCCATATCGCTGCAAAACAAAAACATAAGGCCCGTTATAAATGACTGCAATAAAATCGAACGAAATATAAAATTATTGTTTGAAACCTAAAAATGTAGATATACAATGTAAACCTAATCTAACTGTAATGACAACTATATTTTCACACAAATTAATATCTCTTTAACCTTTATGTTAGTTGTGTTTACTACCAATTGTAGATGGACCATTGATCATAGAGTGAATTTACCGATAGATACACAATGATCATTAATATTTCACATTTATTTCTAGATACACATCATCACATAATATTGTTCAACTTGTTTAATACTGGAAATGCATTAAACAGGTCCATCATTGATACTCCAGTGGTTACACTAACTTAGGCTCCCTGCACTCCTGAAATATGTTTTGGCAAAATTGAAGGCTTCATCTGTACGTGCGAATTCAGGTCGTTTAGGTACCTGGTCGTTTAGGTACCCGGTTGTTTCGGTACTTCTGAAAGTTGTTTCGGTACTTCTGAAAATCATTTAGGTACTTTTGGAAAACACACTTTAGTACCAAGTTTTAGTCAACGTCACCACTTTTTGCGTGCTGTATACCTTCAAGGGAAGTAACTCTAAGTCAAACTTGTGCTATATTACACGTGTTTGTATCAGTTTGTTATTTTGATTTGCTCATGTTTCTAATATTTTTCTTTGATAGATTTTTTGAAGTGGTCTTTGCTTGTTTTGATACAGTCCATGTATATTTGATATAAGCACGAACTTGATATCTAATATGTCAGTGACATAAGTTTTTTTTTACACGTCATGAATCATGAATACCAAAAACAAAACATGATTAATATTATTACATTGATGAATAATTTTATATATATAACATGTTTAATTAATAAATAGCTAAGTATAGCAGGACATATAACATGTTTAATTCATATTTCAATATTCAATAATTTCTAAGTATAACGGGACATATACATATAATGTATTAATAATAATTAATTAAGAATAAAACACATAACAATAACAACAGGTATTTCCATCCGAAATGGAAATCCCTAATTATTAGCTAAGTATAACGGGACATATATATAACATGTTTAATTCATATTTCAATAATTTCTAAGTATAGCGGGACATATATATAACTGTCATTTTTATGACAAGTTGGTGAATTCCCTCTACGTTGAGCTACTCCGATCTACTCATTTGAAGTTTGAAAACAATGATTGACTGATCTGCTTGATTGTTTTAACAACTACGAAAGCAAACGTTAAATAAACAACCAACAATAAATAATATTTATAAACTGATAAACGAAGTACCGAAAATAAACAACCAACCATAAATGACAAATGAGAAATATTTATGAACTAAAAAACGAAGTACCGAAAAAATCGTTGAAGTACCGAAACTACCGTGTACAGAAACTACTGTACCCCGTACGTGCCACCTGGTGAATGATACAAGTTAGACTAGTTTGATCCGTTGATGTCCATTAAAGAATGACACAGCAGTCTAACAGTAAAATTGACTGGCATTGAAGGTGGGTGTCGCTCCTCTGTAATCTTCAAAGGAAGCTAGGTTTCAGCCTTGTGGTTGGTAAGTGTAAGTTCAAGTGCCAAGTCAAATAGCATACCATGTGCCTTCATTACTTTTTGTTATGACATATTCCAGGGTGCTGAGAGCATTATAAGTGAGTGTAACCCCTTGAGTATCGAGGATGAATACAGGTGATACAGTTATCAGTGTTTTTTAGATGTGCAGACAATGGTTCTCCTGCTTTATATCTATTAGGACCAAGTATATCACTATAATGACTTACTAGAGACTTCAGTAGATCTACTGCTTCTAGAATAAGTTCCTGATGCCCAACCTTCATGATACTGATCTTCTCAAGGTCAAATGGTGTCAATAGCATCAATTTCTTGCCATCAATGCCACTGTTGAGGAAGAAATGCACATACGGTAGGATGGCATCATCCAAACCTATAAAATAAATAAAAAATATTGAAAATTCTCATATTTCTAGAACTGATTTATTGAATTGTTCTGATGAGTAAATATATTTACAACATAGTAGAGTTTTCACAGATTCGTGTCAATCAAAGACTGGAATTGAGGATTGAGCTACAGTAGGCTAAACTACAATATTAATGATTTTGTACTATTTTTATGGTATTTATTACTATATCATTATTGTCAGAATTTCAGAATCCTGTGGTAGTAAATTAAATGATAAAAATCGACAGTAAATTTGATATATATACATAAAACTACTTGCGAAATATTTGAGGGATAGTAAGAATGTTAGCGATAGGCCTACTGTAACGTTTTTCGAGTTTGACAGCTTGTCAACAATCATGTCGATGGCTAACATGGCAGGGCGCATACCGAAATCGCCACAATATCAGCAGATATCAGTCTTTTTTCCCAAGCTCAGATAATGTCGATTAATTCAGTTAATGATGTGTATTGAATATTTCACCTATTTTAGTCTCATGTACTGGATATGTTTATGTCATACTGTCAGCTAAGTGGCCTCGGGCACAGATTTTAGCAACTTCAACTTCTGGACGAAATAAACATTAATCGTGTAACAGGCCTACCTCTAAGCCATTCTGCCACATGATTGGCGGTCCAGTTCTCGAAATGGACCGAGTTCGCCAGAGCTGTTGACATCATCATGATGACGTTCCGGCTATACCACTCTTCACTCCAAACAGTCTACTACAGAAATTCCTGTCTCATTTGTTTTGCTTTATTTTGTTTTGTCAGTCTACTGCAGACTTCCGAGTAGGGGAGGTAACTCTCATTAAATGAATTACACACTTAAATAAGGCCAAACCACAAAAACTGTTCGTTGCACGGAACATTAATATGATTTTTATTTTTTGCCACACGAAAATAATTACTCATTACTTTACTGGTAAATCAATGATTAATTTTGGTCATGATGGTAACATTGCTTTCAGTTTTAAGGAAGCGACATGATGCATGTATTTGTTATTTATTTATTAATTTATTTCCAATTCAACAGACCCAAGGGTCTACTTACAGAATGGAAAAAAACCATTTCAACATAAGTATAAAATATCACAGTCAGTTATTCATGTAACACACACTAAAAGATACTCATATGTAAAACAAAAGGAATTATTGATAGCAAATATTCTTTAACCGTACTTTGAACTTCTAAACACATCAAACAATTTGTTGATAACTAATATTTTATACAGTAAGAATTACAACGACAAAAAAGTGTATTTGTTTTTACACTGTGATATACCCCGAACTGGCAAAGTGATTGTATAAGCTCTATATTTTACCAATATTTGTCAAAATTTGTTTTGGAGTCTCTTAATTATAGTTGTCGATTTCATATCCTCATGAAGACAATTCCAGATGCCGTTATCGTTCTAAATCCAAACTTGAGTATTTTCTTCCACCAAACCTACAATGCTTTTTCTTCACTTTATGTCTTTATTTCTGTCGTACGTACACGACCAAAAATAAAGTTTCTTGTATCTTGTAAATTTTCTAAAGAAAACGTATCGAATCTTCTCTAGACCACGCGTTAATCTAAAGTGACTTTTATGACCCGCGTTCGGTCCTATTCCGTCCCATCGAGTCCCGTCCCATTCAGTGTCATCGCGCTAGAAGCAACATTGCTCGTATTTTGATCAAACTTTATACACGTATGAAAAGGGCAGAAAGTTGTATGAGACTTCGTACAAAGATCAATATGAGAATACGTAGCGAGTTCAGGGTTTCAAAGTCGAGGCCAAGAAAACAGTTACATTTTTTCAGCATTTCAGTAAGATAACAATTTAAAGCGGTCCTTGATTTTGGACACCGTCTTCATATATAAGCTTAGCTGTTGCAAGGACCTAATAAACCTAATAAACCAAACCAAAACCAGATCCTCGTGTGCAAGAAAGAAGAAAAAAATAAAGAGAGATGCATGTCATTAGATTTTTAAATCCAACGACGCGGCGTTGGATTCTATTGTCAATAAAATTTGTTGAAAAAATATGTCATGTGGCATATCGTCCGCCCGCTAATGTGTCCTCTGCTGGTTCGAGAGGGAAAATATGTCATGTGGCATATCGTCCGCCCGCTAATGTGTCCTCTGCTGGTTCGAGGGGGAAAATATGCTGTTCCCCACTGTATGTAATCGTAAAACATAAAGCGTCCCCATTCCGACAGAAACTATATTTATGGCATTGAAGAAACGAATATTGATCTGCTGGCCCTATTACATTATCTACAACCTTTATATGTCTTTTCTTTTCCGCCCCTTTCTTATTGGTGGCATCTCACAAGTTACTCGCCTTCCTACGACCACAGCTGTGAATGAGCGAAAACCCGTACACGTGAGCATACTCATTGTGGGAAGGAACGAAGTTGGTATTCTAATCGGCATTATTATGGGTTCACCTGCTGTAGCAGAGAGAATCACAATTAAGCTGCGTGATGTACCAAGAATTTAGTGAAGAAAAGGAGTTTCAGAAAGCAGAAACTCTACTATGATGTAAGGTTGATCCTTGGGAATGACGGAAGGATCGCGTTAAATCTCGTGCCCCATCTTCCATGCGGTGTAGGTCTGCTTGTAGCATTTTGTGGTCTTCATCCTTTCTAAAAGATTTACATCAGTCATCTGCAAATAATAGATAACAGAACTGATGTTTCCTTGTAGATAGTTTATGTTCTATACGAACATGGTTGGTCCTGATACAGCTTATATACAAATATGTTTGGTCAATTCTGCAACCTACGTCATATCATAAATTGCAGTTGTTCAAATGAAAATGGAAAATAACTACATGTGTATTTACATTTCAACGATTTATTTTTTCATTTCTACTTAAACATGTACGGCACAGACAGAGAATATCTTATCCCGTACACACTTCTTAAAATGGACAAATTGTGTATCACTTATTTTTACCATATGCAAGCTGAAAAGGGACAGTTTGGGACTAAAATCTGTTATCCGACGCAAGTGATCGAAAGAATATCAACCATGCTTGTGTATTTACGGACAAGGGAGATAACTGATCCAATAATTTATGGACACAATTATTGTACAGAAAGTGCACTGTAGTAGCATTGTGGTAAGCTGTAATTCAAACAAAAATAAACATTAATATAAACACGTACGACAAAACTATAGAATTAAATGTCCTCGTCGGTACTTTAGTTAGCTGCCTCAGTCAGCTGTACAATATAAACTTGGTAATTCCGAGTACACATTACATATAGTCAACATGATCATTGTTTGGAACTAAGCGGATTAGACACCAGGTAAAAATATACAGGTAAGAATGTATTTAAGTCGACTTAAATTTGCCCCAAAACTTAAGTTTGGATATAAATAAACTCGATGTGACAGATAATTACAGAAACAGAATTGTTCATATTTTGTGTCGGAAATGGGACCAACTATCAACTGAATATGGAGTCCAATATATACTGAATGTGTCCACTCGTTAAAGTGGTAAGTACAAACATATCCATTTTATATTCATATATCTTGTAGGTCTAGAATGCGAATTCATTACTTGTGACTTTAGTCCCGAACTTTTACAGTAATGTTACGAGACGAAGTTCATGAGGTAATATTCGTGTATGTACAGATCTAGACATTGTCAATTAACAGTAAGTAATGTGTGTTTCGTTTTGAAGTATACCACCGTACTTATCACTGCTGGAGTTTATATAACATACATTTAGGCGCTATCCATTTATTGCATACACGACGTGCAACGTATACAATAAATGTTTGTTATATTGTTATATCAAAATGTAAAACATTTTGAAAATTCATTTCGATATTTATACTAGTAGAAATTATATATAAATTTCAAATGATATGATGTATTTTGACAGGTATTAATCAAGAAATTATCAACGACTGCATTTGATTTATGGTAGATTAATAACGAAATGAGAAAATAACGGTAAAATAACTGAACAAATGACCGTTAGGCTAGAGTTAAATTACGTTTTCGTCATTTTGGAATGTAGGTTAAAACTTTTACGCAGTACACTAACAAAGGTTGCTTATTTCTATTCTTCCAACGAACTTTCATCAACTTAAACCAAATAATGCCATCGTCGCCTTATAGATATCCATATCGGTATGTAGTAAGGCTGGTTGATATGCGTATGATGCTGTTTAATCGCAAGCGCATATTGGCGAATGCAATCACTGCATTATTTTAGGAATGTTTCATTCAACTAAATTCCATCTTTGCGTATTGCAGAGTTATCTTCTCTTGGGAGCAGGTATTGATTGTTACGTCATTGGTCTGTGTGAGAAAATTACGTCGTTTTTCTCAAAAATTGATGACGTTACTCTCACAAGCAAGTGACGTAACAATCAATACCTGCTCACAAGAGAAGATAACTCTGCAATAAGCAAAGACGGAGTACCATGTTGACCAGGATAGAGAACATGTATTGTGTCGTGGCAAATAATGAAATTAACAGGAAATAAATATTTGTATTAAAATAACACTTTTAGTATCATTTTTCAAAGAGAGATCTAGATGAAAACCCATTCGCTAGTATTCTTCTATAAGCGTATATAATATTTAAAAACAGTCAGTGACTCTCTAAGTTAACAAAACCGACAGCTTAAAAAGGAGAGGGATCGTAGTTCCCTTTATAGCTGGGTTCTAACCATTATGTGTTTACCGAGTCTGATTCTGTGATATGCGTACAGAAGTAAATAAACATAGTTCAGAACTATTTTCAAGGTAGGCATAGTGATTTGAGTTCATGTTGAAGTATAATCCGATATTGATATATTTTAAGACGAATTTCATTTTAACTACGGTGAAGTAAGTGATTTGATTTTTGTTATGCTTATATTGACCACACCTAAGAGAGACAAGCATGCACCTAATCTAGTCTCCGTTATTTATCTAGTGTTTCTTTACCATTGTTTTATACGTTATTTACGAGTCGGACACGTAGACTTAATTTATAGTGTGTTACACATCAAACAATATCTCACTACAGATTTTCTGAACAAATGTTATTTCTATAAAAATATTATACCAAATAATGTCAGGGAAATATTAGATGTCGTGTTTAAAAATTACAGAATGTCATGTAAAAAGGATGATGTCACTGCTACGGATAACTCTCACCTGTTTGTGTGTCACCGCTACACAAGGTATGTATACCACATAAACTGTGTCAGCAATCAGAAATAATACACGGCAGTAATACGGAATCATGTATTTAGATAACTCAGTAGTCAGTACAATAAATAAGTTGAGACATTTAAAGTTAAAGATGCTCAGTAACTGAAATTACACTAGTAAAGGAAAACGTGAGGGCTAAAATATCAATCTGCTTTCATGGTTCGCAAACTCGACAGTTACATATGTAAATATAACCGAAAATGGGAGAAAAACAGGATAGTAAGATATATATCATAGTTTGTGACAACACCGTTTTATTGAAGTCGTAAATGGCATTACCTCTGAGGAAAACATAAGAGAATACCAAAACATTAACAAAACCATCATTTAAATTTCATATCGATAAGACTATGAAACTATGAAAAAAATATATATTTACATGAAAAATACAACCAAAATAAGACCAGGTTTTTGGAAGGATTATAGCGTGTTCTGCTACATCGACGACAATCGCCATGTAAAGTTAATCTAAAGCTTCCAAGTAATATCTGGTCCTCAACGTGAGAACTGAGGTATAGTGACAACGAAACAGCAATAATGAGCACAACAAAAGCATTGACCCTCATACCGCACAACGAAACAGCAATAATGAGCACAACAAAAGCATTGACCCTCATACCACACAACGAAACAGCAATAATGAGCACAACAAAAGCATTGACCCTCATACC